ACGTCTCCGAGGCACTGTGCGGGGGCAGTGCTGGCCGGCCCCCAGGGGTCTTGCTTCACAGGTCAGGACCCTTGCTCAGCAGTCAGCCATGCCAGGAGGCCACCAAGCCCCCCTATTGTCCCCCCCCCCCCGCCAGAGTGGCCGCAGACACCCCTCGGGGCATCAGGAACAGGCAGAGAACTGCCAGGTGACCAGGGTAAGTGGGCTGAGGGCTCACCTCGGCTCTGCAGGGAGGTCACTTTAGATCCCTGGTCCCAGCAGACCCGGTACCAGTCACGTTCCAGCTCCTGCAGGTCGGCCAGCTGGTCAGCAGGCAACACACTCATGCCCGTTGCCGCCAGCCTAGGCCTGCAAGCCCTGCCACGGCCCCTCCCCCAGGAAGCCCACCCTGACCACCCCAGTCTGACAGGCTATGCCCTTTGAACCTGGAACCTCCAGCTGCCGCTGCCGGTTACGGGGCATGTGGCCGTGTCCACCAGCTGAACCCTCCCCCTCACCTCTGCCAACGGGTACAGCCAGCCCTGGCAGTACACCCACGGGTGTTTGCTCAGTGATGATGGAGGCTTGGATGAAATTCCGGGGCCCCAGGCACCCCTCACTGTGGGCCAGGCCCTGTGTCCAACGCTCTGTACACGCTCAGCGACTCGCAACTGCCCAGTGGCGTTCCGGCCCCACTCAGCGGGCACAGGCGGGGCTCTGGCAGAGAGCGAGGCACTCCCGGAGGCACACAGCCTGCCCCAGCTGGGCCCCCAGCCCTGGCCCCGTCAGCACCCAGCTGCAGCGGGGAGGCTTCTCCTGCCGCCCCCAGCTCTTCCTCCCCAGCCCTGGGGCCCGTGAGACAGCCCGGGGCCTGGGTGTCAGAGAGCACCCATGTGCCCACCGGGTTTCCTGGAGGCCCAGGCCAGCCCTTCCAGCCAGCAGGGCGGCCCCGGCCTCTCCTCTCGGCGACAGCTCCGCCGGGCGCCGGCGGGCAGGGGAAGCGGGTTTGCGGCTGGCGGGCGTGTCTCCGCCTGCGGCTGTTCGGTGGGTTCAGGCTTCCTGCACAGCGTGAGCAGCTGCGTGGAGGCGGGTCGGGGCTGGCCCTGGGCCTCCAGACAGGGAGGGGGGTTGGCAGGCCCTGGGGGACCCTGGGGCTCTAGAGGCTTTGGGGGACCTTGGGAAATCTTTGGGACTTTAGGTGACTGTGGGCTGGTTTAGGGGACCCTGAGGGGCCTGGAGGGTCATGGAGGTCCCCAAGGAGTCTTGAGAGATCTCTGGGGTCTTTGAGACCTTAGGAGATTTTGAGGGGTGGGGGCTGTTGGCAGACTAGGGAAGCAAGGGCCTCAGCGGGGTGCAGCCGGCCCCTGAGTGCCTGAGTCATTCATGGCTGGAGCTCCGGCCCCTGGTGTGATGGGGGCTCCCCGCTGAGCCCTGTGGGAGGAAGTGCCCAAAGGTGATGGGCCCTGGCCCAGCCCTCACAGCCGGACCCCTGCAGCCAGGACTAGGGGCGCACACACTTGCGGACCTCGCCAGACTCCAGGGGTGGCGGGACAAGACCCCCCATCCTGCGCGCACCGCGGGGCACCCTCTCTCCTTCTCTCCAGGTCCTCTCACCCCAGCAACCACCCCCTTAACTGCACCGATAGGAAATGCCCACAGGACGCCACATGCCACGAGGTGGTGCCTCTTGCCAGGAGCGGAAGCCAGTCCCCCCCCACCGCTGGGGGGTGGGGAGGCCCTCTGGCTGGCGCTCTGCGAGGGGGGTGGGGGCTGGGGGGGCGGTGGCTGCCTCCCCGCGTACCCCGGTGTCCGCTCTGGCCTGGACGTCCCCCGCCACCACCCGGGGCCACCAGCCTCCCGGCCCCGCGCAGCCCCAGCTGCGGGTCTGATGCTGCAGCGGCGGGGGCTCCCCGGGCTGGGGGCGCAGCCCGAGCGCTCCTTCCAGGAGGTCGGCTGGGGTTGGGGTCTGGGGCCGGCTGGCGGTCGGTGCAAAGGGCTGGCGGGGCAGAGGCGGCCCGGCCCAGTGGGCGCCCTGGGCGCGGCCTGCGGCTGGAAGGGCCGGGCTGGGCTGGGCCGGCGGGAGACCACGCGGGGCCTCCGGGGAGGGGCGCTGCCCTCTGGGGCAGGCGGGCGGGCGGGTGAGGGCGGCCCTGCCTGTGGAGAGGGACCCGTGCCCAGTGCTGCTGAGCCCGGCCCCTCCGCGCTGGAGGGCAGGTGTGGCCCCGCTGGCCAGGCTGGCCTAAGGGAGGGAGTGGCCCTGGGCTCTCCAGCCTCTCCCACTCCTTCCCTTCTCCCCGCCCCAGGACAGTCCCTGCCCACCCCACCCTGTGCCTGGGAGGCTCCCAAGTAAACCCGCAGGGCCTTGGCGCTGGGATGGGGGGACAGGGTGGCTGGGCCCAGGGAGGCGTCCAAGGCAAGGGAAGGGTGACGGGCCACCCGGGGAGCCACAGCCGAGCAAAGGCCTCCAGACCCCCCCCCAGCCCAGGTCTGGTTAAGTGCTGGGGCCCCGGGGCAGGAAACAGGGAGACCCGCGCCCCAGGAAGGCTGCCCCACAGCCAGAGCAGGACAGGAGGGAGGGGCTGTGGAGCCCCGCTGGGCTGCATGGCCCTGGGGAGGCCGCGGGGGCTGGCGGAGTCTCTGTGACCCCTGAGGTCACTGAGCCCCGCGGGCAGGCACTAGTTCACACGTGACCCACCTCACCCCTGCGGTTCTCACAGCTGGGCCACCCCCTCCCACTTCCCGCACCCCCCTGCTGTTCTGGCCACTGTCCAGCCATGCCAGCCCACCGTCCACCTGCCCCCACCTGGCAGGGATCCCTCCCAGCAGAGCGGGCACTGGGCGGGGCCTGGGGGCCAGGCTGGCCTTATGGGAGGGAGTGGCCCTGGGCTCTCCAGCCTCTCTTCACTCCTTCCCTTCTCCCGGCTCCAGAACATTCCCTGCCCACCCCACCCTGTGTGAGGAGGTGGGAGGGGCTGGCACTTGTAGCAGCAGCGGTGGGGGGCAGGGGCCTTCAAGCACTCCCCATGAGCAGGCCATTCCCTCGGCTACTTTGAGGCCGTTTTCATCATTTGAGAACAAGTGGGCCCTGGCGGCCTGGTGAGGTCCTGGGGCGGCCTGGCGAGGTCCTGGGGCGGCCTGGCGAGGTCCTGGGGCCAGGGGGCACCTGTGAATTACCTGGGTCTTTCCTTGTGGGAGCATCCCCAGCTGGGCTCAAGGGGGAGCAGGGAGAAAAGACCAGAACACAGGGGAGGAGGCAGGAGGTGGCGGTGCCACGTGAGACTCCCTGGCCCCTGGCTGTGTGGGGCCAGCTCCACTGCTGGCCAGGCAGGTCGTGGAGGACTTCCTGGAGCTGGGGGCTTTGCTGCAGGGACCAGGAGGCAGAAATGAGTCCCCCAGGGCAGGAAGAACTTGTGTGGGGAGAAAACACCAGACCTGGCTCCTCTGGCAGGAAGACCAGCTGGGCAGGGCAGCCTGGAGGGGCCAAGAGGTCCTGCCACCAGCCCTGGGGCGGGCCAGGAGCTTGTCACAAAGGTAACGGAGGCCCAAGGGGCACTCATCCTGGAGGAGGCCAGTCAACAGACGCTGCCTTGGCACCCCATGCAGCCCCCAGGCCATGAAACCACGCACCCGTGGTGGCTGAGGACCCCGAGGACCCCGCCCCCTTACTCCCATGTCCCCATCCTGCAGCAGGACCCGAGCCAGAAGCACAGCCCCTGCTGGCGCTTGCCCCACCGGGCTTGGCCAGGGCAGCCTCTGCAGGCAGGGAGTGGGGCGTGGAGGGACAAAAGAGGGCCCCTAAATCTCGCCCTGGGTCTCGACGGCCCTTGAGCTGGGGTGGAGTTTCCCAGGCAAAGCTGGAGCTGGCGAGGGTGGGTAGGGCGGGCTGGATTCACTGGGTGGGATGCCCAGGGCGGGTGGGCTTGGGCAGGGCAGGGAGGGTGGGCGGGAGAGCCCTTTGCAGACAGGAAAAACAGGGCAGGGCCCAGAGGGCCCAGCCCAAAGGCGGGCGGGGGCTCGGTGGGCAGCCGGGCCTTCTGCACGGTCTCCCCTCCTCCCCCACCCAAGCCCCGGCAGCGCCCTCCCGGGCAGGTGGGCAGACCCCGGCAGCACCCTCCCGGCAGCCTGGGCAGGGCGCTGGCAGCGTGCCAGGGCCGTGGGTTCCGAGGGCCTCCCCCGCGGCCCCTGGGCGCGGGACGGCACCTGCCCCACCGCCCAGCCGGCGCTCCGGTGCCCCCGGCGGGACGACCCTCCCTGCGGCCCGGGCGGTCCCGGCGCGGCCCCGGGGGGGGGGGGGTGCCCGGCGCGGCCCCGGGGGGGTGCCCGGCGCGGCCCCGGGGGGTGGGTGCCCGGCGCGGCCCCGGGGGGGGGGGCGGTCCCGGCGCGGCCCGGGTGGGCGCCCAGGGCGGGTGCGCGCTGCGCTGGGCGGCGCCGGCGGCCGCGGGGACGACGCGCGGGGCCGCGTGGCCGCGGCGAGCCGGGCGCGCGGAGGAGCGGCCGCGCGTGCGCGTGGGTGCGGGCGGCGGGGGCGCACGTGGGCACCCAAACAAAGGCGGCGTCGCGTGACCGAGCTCGCGAGCGCGCGCGTGGCCCCGCGAGGGCGCGGCCCCTTTAAGGCGTGGGGCGGTGCGGGGAGGGGCGGCCCCTTTAAGGCGTGGGGCGGGGCAGGGGCGGGGCGGGGCGGGGCGGAGCGGCCATTTCAAGGAGGGGGGCGGGGCGGGGCGGGTCGCGGGGCGGGGCGGCCCCTTTAAGGCGCGGGCGATGGGCGGGGCGGCCCCTTTAAGGCGGGACGGGGCGGGGCGGGGCGGGGCGGGGCGGGCGGGGCGGGGCCGCGGCTGCGCAGGCCGGGCCGGGGCGCGCAGGCTCCGCGCAGCGTGACGCGAGCGAGCGCGCGACCTGGCGCCGCCTCCGCGCTCGTGCCGGACCCGCGGGGCCGCCTCCTCCGCTGCCGGCGCCGCTGGCTCCCGGGCGGGCGGGCGGCGGCAGGTGCAGCGCGGCCGGCGGCCGGCGAGGGGGCGCCGCGGCGCCGCGTGGATGCGAGCGGGCCCCGACCTGCGCTCCGGGTAAGCGGCGCCCCGCGGGGCCGGCCTCCGCCGCGCGCCCCGGGACCGGCCGGGGGGGGGTGGGGGGGGCCGGGGGGCGGGGGCGCGAGCTCCCCGGTACCCGGGAGCCGCCGGCCCCGCCCCAGAGGCCGCCCTGCCCGGGCCGGCGGGCGCCGGCCGCCCTCCTTTGTCGGGGCCGGGCGGGGAGGGCCGGGCGGGCTCGCGCCCCCGGGAGCAGCCGCGGGGCCCAGGCCCGGTCAGCCCGCCCGCTGGGCCTGCCTGGGGCTGCGCCAGCCCCCGTGGGCCCAGCGGGCACCGCCAGCCTGGGGGCGCGGGGCCCCTGCCCGCCATCCCCCGGGGGCAGCGGGGAGCGCCTCCCGGCAGCCCTGGCCCGCGGGCGTGGGGCGCGGGGCGCCGGGCCGGACCGCCGGGCTGGGCCGCTGGTTCAGCGGAGCCGGGGTGCCGCTCTGTGACCTTGGGCAGGGAGGCTCTGAGGTCCCCCGTGCCCCGGTTTCCCCACCGGCTAGAGGAGGGGTCAGGCGAGGGTCAGGCTCGGCTGGTGGAGCATCGGAGGAGGGCACCACGCCGCGCGCGCACCCGGGGCAGGGGCTCGGGCGCACCAGCCTCCCCAGGGCCCCGTGCCCAGCTGCCCTCCGCAGCCCAGGCCCCTCTGACCACGCGGCGGTTGCCCTGCCTGCGCCTGGCAGGGCCTGGTCTGTGTGGGCAGGGCTGCGTGGGCCCGGGCCTGTGCGGCCTCCTCCCGCCTGCACACCCCCGAGCCCCCGGCCTGCCTGCCCTCCCCGCCCTGGCCCAACACTAAGGCCCTGTGAACCCCCAGTCCGGCAGCGCGATCTCGTGACCGGGTGCCGGCCGGTCCCAGACCTGAGGGCGCCCCGCGCGGCTCTGCCCTCCCTGCCTCTCGGCTGCTGGCTGCGGGGCGAGGCTGGGGTGGGCCCTCATCCCCGGCTGTCCGGCTGTCCGGCGGCGGCTCGCGCTCAGGAAAGCCGTTTCCTGGAAACTGTCAGGAGGTGTGAGGCACAGACCTGGCAGCCGGTCCAGCGGCCTCCAGCAGCGTCTGCTCTCCCGCGGGAGGGGCCCCCCACAGAGGAAGAACTGGGTGGTCTTCCAGCCACTGGCCCTTGAGTCCCCTGTGCCTCTTCTGCCTTATCTGCTCTCTCCAGCCCAGAGGGTGCCGGGGCCAGATGGGTGGCCGGCCCGCTGACCCCAGCCTTCCTGAGCCTCCCGGGCCTCACCTTCAGCAGCCCCGCCCGCCCTGCTGGCCTTCTCTGCCGGAGGACAGGCTGAAGCAGGACGAGCAGCCCACGGTCCGGCCGGCCTAGCCCCGAGCCCTGGCAGCCCTGGTGCCGCGTCCCACCCTTGTGCTGGTGACAGGCCGGGCCGGCCCCGGGGGAGCCCGAGTAGTTGGAGGGTGGATGCGCCCCTGGTGCTTCTGCAGGGTGACCCACAGGTCCCGCCGTCTCCGCTCACGCCATGTGCCCCCGAGTCTCCCCCTGGAAGCAGATACTTGTGAGAGCCCCGCCGCTGCGCCTTGTGCCCCCGGGCTCCAGCCACGCTGTCTCGGGGTCCCCTCCTGTGGGGCTCTGGCCCTCATCTGCCGTGCATGGCCCTTCTGTGCGGGGGCGCGGTCTCCTGCCCAGGGGCCCGGTGGGCACTCCATGAGCCTTTCTGGGCTGCCCGTTGCTGCCAGGGACGTGCCCCCTGGAAAGACGTTTGTGTGTCCACCGCTCCCCTAGACAGGGCCACGAGGCTGTCCTGCGTGTCGGGGCCGCGGTCTGGCGCCTGCCTGTGCGGAGCTGCTGGGGCCTGGGTGTTACCCGGCCTCCCGCCCTCACAGAACTTGAAGCCAAACGGGGGGACGGGCGTGGGAAGGGAGCGGCTGGAGTCGGGCACTGGCTGGGGGGCTGCTTCTGGCCGGGGTCCCAAGGTGGACCTGGCCGCCCGGGGGAGCCTGCAGGCCTTTGGTTCAGGAATGCTGCAGCCTCGGGGGCTCGGGGTCCTGGATGGGCTTAGGCCGGATCCCCGTGGCCTTTCCACCAATAGCAGCCTGGGCAGAACCTAGAAGGCTCCTTTGGCCGAGCCGGGGACGCGCCCCTGGACAGCCCGTGCTGGCCGGGCCTTGGGATGCCGGGGACGGAGCGTTTTGGTCCCAGCCCGCTCTGGGCTTAGGCCTGGAGGAGCCGGGTGGGCTGCGCCGACCTCCCGTGGGCCCGAGTCCCCTCGCCGGGAAGCCACGCTCCTGTCACCCAGGTGTCCCGTGGCTGAGCAGCGGGCGAAGCTCCCGCCCGTGAGGCCGCTGAAGGGCGTTGTCAGGCAGTGGCGGGAGCTCGGCGGGGCCGTGGGCGGGTCCTGGGCGCGGCCGTGTGCACAGGAAGGGGTGGGAGGCCCCCTCTGAAGGCTCAGCTCCTTGCCAGGCGTCTGGGCCGCAGCCGGGCTCCCCCGTGACCCCTGTGCAGGGCGCGCCGGCTGGGAGCAAAGGCCTCCGGAGGTGGCTGGGAGCGGGCGTTGCTGTGGGCTGAAGGTCCAGCCCTGCGGGCGGGTGCTGGGCTCGCCTTGGGCTCCAGCCCCCTGCAGAGGGCCCGGGCACCCCAGGCGGGGGCCCCTGGGGTCTCTGTGCCTAACTCGGCCTTGGGCAGCCGTTGTCCCTCGTAGGGGCCGCCGCCGCTGTGGTCTCAGTGGTCACTCGTAAGTGAGGGTCTCGGCCAAGGGTCTGGAGCCCGGGGTGGCCCCGGCCCGTGCTGGCCTCACCCAACCCGCCACCCCGGGAAGCCCGGGTGGAGAGCGCAGGGCCCCAGGAGGATGGGGGCGCGGGGGGCCTGAGTTGTGTTGCCACGAGGGCGCTGCCCCGGCTCGGCCCAGGGGAGGCGTCGCTGACCTGGGCCTTGGCTCCCCTCTGGGAAGTGGGGGTGCTCGCCTCCCTCCGCCTCCGTGCTGGCTGGCGCGGCCCCTGTCCCTGCCGGCGGGGTGTGAGCAGCTCTCCCCAGAACCCCCCGGGCCAGCAAACCCAAGTCAGCTGCGGTGGGAGAATCCACACGCGCCCCTCAGGGCCACGGCGGCACTCAGCCCCTGGGGAGACTCCCCCCGCCCGTGTCGGGCTCCCCACGAGCAGAGGGAAAGGCGCTGCTTCTAGCCCTCCCCGGGGGCAGGCACAGGAGGCCGCGGGACCCCTCCCCAGCCCCGCCAGAGAGCGAGTGGGTTTGGGGGCACCCGCCCCCGGGGAGAGGGCCCCGCCTTCTCTCCCTGCCTGGTGGGGCGCCCGTCCCAGGGACCCAGACCCCTGTCAGGCACCTCACTGCTCCTTGGTGCTGGGGAGGCCGCCCGCAGCCCCCCGCTGGGAGAGGCACTGCCCCCTGCTGGCCGCTCCCCTGCCGTCCTGCCTGTCCACTTCCCTGCGCACTGTGCTCCGCAGTGGCCTTGCCGGCGGCCCCCGGGGAAGGCAGGTGGGCACCTGGAGGCCCGCGCTCCCTGCCACGCGGCGGCGCTGCCACGGGGGGGGGGGGGGGGGTCAGGGCCGCGCATGACGCACTTGTCGGCAGGTGCCCAGCTCTGCCTTCACGTCCCTCCCCGGCAGCTCCTGGCCCCAGGGCCTGCTTGGGGGTGCAGCCCAGCTAGGGGTGCTGGCCTGGGCACGAGAGGCTTGTTTGAATCTTGAGCATCTTGGTCGTGTGAGGCTCCGCCCGCTGCGGGTGCGCGGCTCACGGGCGTGGAATAGAATCACACCTTGTGCAGCCGGCGCCACAGTCTAACTTTAGAACGTGCCGTCACCCCGAAGAAACCCGCGCCCTCCGGCACCCTCCCCCGTTCTCTGCCCCGCCCCGCAGCGGTCGGTCCGTGCCCCATCTCGGGGTCTTCCAGCTCCAGATGTTTCTGTCGGTGGGGTGACCCGGCGCGGCCCCTCCCAGCCCCAGCGGCCCGGCCACCTCGGGACTCTCGGTGGCTCCGTGTCCCCGCCCGCCCAGGGGTCTGGGTTCACCGCGGCCCCCTCTGGACTCTCCAGGCTGACCCACCGTGCGGGGGCCGCGGATTGTTTCTCACGTCTCGCCTCATCTTCCGTGATCCCCGCAACCGTAGCGTTTAGGTCACCTCCCCCGGGAAGCCTTTCTGGCCCTCCGCTCCCTCCAAGTCAGGGCCTCGTCCTGGGTGTGGCCGTCCGCTTGCCGCCTGCCTCTGAGCTCCTGGGGGCAGGGGCCCCACATTCCCGCGCTCCCCGGCTGGCCTGAGGAGGACCGTCTGGCGCGGGGCTGCAGCTGCAGGGCCCGGGACCCTGTGTTTCTGCTCCTGACGAGCCTTCCTTCCGCGGCTGGTTTCGCGGCTTGCCCGTCTTGCCGCCAGGCCCTCGAGGGGGAACGGCTCCTTTCTCTTCGACTAGGCCGGACGCTGCTGCGCGGAGAACCAGCCTCCCAGGCTGCTGCTGAGCCGGCCTTTGGTTTTGTTTGTTCACGTAAGGTCCTCGCGCGCCCAGCGCCCCACCCCGTCGCCGTGACCGCTGGCCGAGTCCCGGCGGCTCTCCGGCCGGCCGGCTCCTCGGGCTTCCCCGGCCTGCGACGGCCTCGGCTGTGTGGGGGAGCCTGGCCGGGGTGTCTTGGTCTTTGGCCGCAGGTGGGAGCGAGGCCCTGACGCTCGGGCTCTGGACCTGGCACAGCCAGGGCCCGCCCGTCGCCTTCCCTGCCCCAGGGCGTCGGCGCTAAACCTCCAGAGGCCGAGTAGTTAAAGGAAACGCAGCGTGGGCCGGTGGCGCAGCGGTTGGGCGCAGGGCCGTGCAGCTGTCCGCGGCCTCTGCAGCGCCGGTTCGATCCCCGCCGGCCGCAGAGATACCCGCATGGCGAGCAGCCCTCTCCTGTCTCCCCGCTGCGCCCCTCAGCAGTGTGTGTCAGCAGATCTGCCTGCTCTGCTCCCCGCCCTGTCTCTGGGGAATTCTCTCACCCTCCCGCGCATCTGGGCTGTACCCCGGTTCTTGTGTGCATAAATAGAGCTTAAAAAAAAAAGAAACACGCCAGCCTCAG